ACCGACACCTACAGTGGAGTATCCATGGGACACTGCTCGAAGAATTGCCACATATGGGCGTGACCCAAGAAAATCTTAATACCGACTAGCAGGAGGTGCAAAGGGATTACAAGTATCTGTTGGGTCTGGCACATAAATTCTACTTCACCAAAGAATGCTATGTGAACTCTCAAAGAATGCTGTGTGTCACATTGGTCATCAATATTATTATGAAAACACTGAAAAAGAGAGAGAATATGTTTTAAAAGTCAGTATCAAGGTACTGATCACTAGCAAAGAGGACAGGGCAGAAGAGAGAGAATACTATCTGGTGTAATCACCAAAGTTTTACACCACTATATTTGGGAGGCTAAGATGACACCTTGGCAACTTGAACTGGAGATGTAAAAGGATAGTGATTTTGCTTTGTGAAAATGGGGCCTCAACCAAATCTGTGTGAAAATGCTTAGGAAGCATGTTATGATTGTTTTATATTAACTGTTTGCTTCAATAACCTGGACAACTCATCATCTCTAGCATTGGCATGCTTACTACTGGATTATCTGGTTATATCAACTCCTTCCTCAGACCCTGGGCTACCAGCACTCTTATCTACCTCCACGAAATCACTGACTTCCTGAGGAAACTTCACCACATCAGTAATCTACCTGAAAATACCATCCTGGCCACTATGGACATAGAAGTCGTTTGCACCAACATTCCACATGAAGACGGATTACAGGCCATCAAGAACACCATCTCCGATAACAGCACTGCACACCTGATTACAGAGCTCTGTGACTTTGTCCTCACCCACAACTACTTCCAATTCAGAGACAATTTGTACCTCCAAGTCAGTGGCACAGCCATGGTCACCTGCATGGCATCACAATGCGCCAACATCTTTATGGCTGACCTTGAACAACATTCCCTCAGCTCTTGCCCCTTAGCACCCTTACTTTACTTATGCTACATGATGAAGATGTCATCGATATCGACCAATGAAAAAGAGACCCTTGAAGAATTTCACAAGGATTTCAACAACTGCCACCTCATCTGTTAAACAGGTTGACAGAGCCAAAAAAGTACCCAGACATGAACTACTTCAAGACAGACCCAAAAGAGAAAATAACAGAATTCCATTTGTTATTACCTACAGTCCACAACTCAAACCCCTCCAACACATTATACACAATCTGCAACATATCTTGGAAAATGATCCTTCTCTCAGAGGCCTTGGGGGGAAAAGCCTATTCTTTCTTACAGACAACCCCCCAACCTGAAACAAATTATTTCCGGTAACCATGCTACACAACCGCATCATAAGCATCCAGGATCCCAGCCCTGCAATCAGCCGTGATGCCAACTCTGTCCACATATCTATACAAGCGAATTCATTATTAGAGCTAACAACATAAGCTACCAAATCAGAGGCTCATTTAACTGCACATCCAGTAATTTGATCTATTCCATCAAATGCCCCATTGCTATATATATATTGGACAAACTGGACAGTCCCTATGGGAAAGAATCAATGGACACAAATTAGATATCCATGAAGGGAACATACAGAAACCTGTTGGGGAACACTTCACTCTACCTGGTCACATTTCAAAAGATCTCCAAGTGGCTGTCTTGTTACAGACCAATTCTACAAGCCAAATACACAGAGAAGGATTGGAATTACAATTCATCCACAAATTTAATTCTCACACTTATGGCCTCAATCGAGATAATGGATGGCTGGGATATTATCAACCAAACAAACAATGAAGGTGCCAACAGCTCTTTACCTGTGTAGATTCTTGTGTTAGTACTCTTCCTCTCTAATTGCTATCCTATGATCCTTATCTGCTTCTTTTAACTATCCAATTTTTAAGTGCTTATAGATTACCAGTTTTGCCTGTTTGGTTTTCCCTTTGATATTTACATACCCTCTGCTTCTTGTTTCCCACTCCCTTCCATTTTTTTCCTTTACCCCTCTCCCATCTCCCGTAATTATTTTGGGTCCGAACATCCTAAACTCAAAACTCCGGTCATCTGAAGAAGTGGGCTGTGCCCACAAAAGCTCATGATATTATCTACATGATTTGTTAGTCTATAAAGTGCTACCAGACTATTGGTTGTTTTTTAAATTTACCATATTAAAATAATATGTCAGACTTATGTATATTAATGGTGAAAATAATAAGTGCTGTGATGTTAAGCAAAGTGATTGTCCTTAGAAGATGGCATCTCCTGTTCCTTTGGGAACAGCAGTTCTGGTAATTCTGTGTTTAGGGACAAGGGGATGGACACTGCAGGCAATAGAATGTAGGGGGTTAGCTTGCACATATCACACCTGTACAGAAAGCCCTGTGGAGATCTGGAAGACAGTGTTTATACTGCGAGAACCTATTGGTTTCAGGGAGCTGATCTATAGCAGGCACAGACAAGACTGCTTCACGCTAATGGCAGGTAGTAGCAAGGTGCCTCACAGCTGTGGGTATTCTTGGGGAACATCATAACTGTAACACAGGAAATGCAAACCTCTCTTAGGAAAATACTGCATGCTGATAGAGGAATTTTTCCCTCTAAAACTGATTCATTCCCACACCCAAGCAGTATAGGATACCCATGACATTTTTATGGACCAAACGTCAGACAATTTTCAGCTAGTTAAGGTTCTCTTTATTCTCTAGAAGCTATTTTGAGATCACATCAGATCAAACTGTGAAATGAAAACAAAATTACTGACTCCAATTTCTCCCATTTTTACACAATGTACCTCAGATAACACAGGTTACTTTTTCAGATAAAGGTCATTATCTTCTGAAACAAAAAAATCATTAAGTCTTTTCTCCTAAATCTGAGACAGATTCCTGTAATTAACTCTACTGAGATTGTAGCTATGGATCTTTTATACACAGTATGTACTTCTAAAAATTCATTTGCTGAGAATCAGCAAAAAGCCAGAGTTTTAAGGGATGAACTTCAAGAGTTAGTCTGTTGTGTGCTTTCCTACAAAACTTACAAATTTTACTGTGCCTTTCTTCAGTTACTATTTATAAATAGGACTTAAACGAGATCAAAATTATTCATTTGTCCAATGTACATTGTATTATCATTGTTTTTATTGTTAATATTAGCCACAAGAATTGCTTCTCAAAGATTTGTATATTCATGAATGTAGATAAAATGTCACGACCAAAATATTATGGATGCTGCTGAAAAAATATATCTGCAATGAACAGTTCATTTAATAAAAAGGAGTTTATCTGGGTTATTCAGTAGTAAAGTGATTTATAATAATGGGCTGTGAAATAAATCACTGCAATGAAAGAAAGATGATGAAAATACTTAAACCTAAGCAGGGAAAATCAAAACTGGTTCAGAACCATACCATTTAGTAAGGAAAACTAAATTTAAAGGAAGTTACAATACAAAAGTATGCAATGTGCTTCCCTTCCATAAATCACAAATTTTGTATTCATCAATGGCACAATGACAAAATGTGTAACTTCTCTAGTATGAATTTGTGAATAAACACAAGTAAAAGGGAATGAGAAAGAACTGGAAATGATCTATGATACCAATATTTTAATAAGCAGCTCCAAAATCTCCCTCTTTAGCCTGTGAAGAACCTTACATTTATGACTGCTCTTTGTGTAGATGCAGGGAGAAAAGGAAAATGTGGAGTGTGCCTATGCCTTCTTGGGAAAGGTTTTCAAACTACCTATCATTTGTACAATCAGAGCCATTTTAAAAGGCTAACCATTTGTTCTTTAGGAGCATTATTACATGTCTTATCTGGCTGAGATGTTTTATTAGTTTTGAAAAGGTGACTGAATTGTAATAGAAGTAAGGAAAACATTGCAATGTTCCCAATGGAGATGTTTGAAGTGGTGTTGCATCGAGCCACAGTAACTGCATCAGCAAAGCTCATGACAATTAAGTGAAAAATACCAGTCTAAGTAGATAACCTTCTGAGCAAAGAAATAACAAGTTAAATTATTCCATTATTGGGATAGTGGCCACTGTTGAACACACACTATTGGACTTGCCTGACCACTCCTGTGATCTGGCCAGCAGTCACACTTCTTGTGTTCCTTTTAGCCCTTGTGTAGTTTCCAACTGCAACACTAAACGAGCTACAGCAGATACATTCTCACTTATATACAATTTCAGACAACAGAAAGATGGACTTGTGAACAATTTCTGCAATATATAATACATAAATATATTTATATTAAATGTACAAGTCTTTTCACCTCTTTTTATTTTGTACTCATATTTTATATTAATTGTGTTTGATTTGCTACATATAACTTCTTGCAGTACTTCAAGCGGCAATGCAATATGTAGCTGTAAGTGCATATTGGCAGACTGGTTTAAAAATATTCTTTCAGTTCTCCAGTAACATGAACTATCTACCTGAGTTTTCTGAACTTTTGTACCAGCAGAACTATATTTAGGGGATGGAAATTAATTTTCCCACCTTAGACTGTGACTATCCACAATATTCACCTTAACTTTTAGTATCCTTGCCTCCCAAAAGGAGAGGGGGATCTAAAGCAAGTATCAGGAGTTTGCATAGCATTATCAGTATAATAAGCAGAGTGAAGGCAGTTTTCTTTAAACCTATACAACAAAACAAACTGATGCTTCTAGTAAAAATGGAAGCTATTTCTTTTGTGATAGATCACAAGTATGTGGTACAGTATTCATTAAAACTCAAAGGCGATTAATAAGATCTGATGAAGGGATTTCCTTTGGCTTATGAAAGGAAATCTTTGCTATGGTAAACAGCTGGTGAGATTCCACATATATATCTGCTTGTTAGGTATATGCTAGAATATTCTATGGTGATAGAAATCATGATGCTGAACAACCTGATGAGACTCATACAATTCATATAAATGAAGACATATCACTATAAGAGAAAAAAATATGAACAGAATTTTTAATCAGGCCATTTAATACTATGCTAAAATTGCTTAAAAGCTGTTTAAAATTAAATGTAAAATAAAATGTGTTCTTACCAAAATAACTTGGAAAAGTGTTGGAACAAGTTTACTTTCTTCAACAAGGCTGTAAAAAAAATTGTTATTTTTTTAATGATCTGTTATTTAACACAATGAACATACACAGGAAGGAGTGCTGCACAAGTCTTTAATATTAAAATCTGTGACCTAGAACTTTATTCTTTGACTAACTTTTCATATAATGAATTTCACTCCAGCTCTTAAATAGAAACAGCAATGTAATTCTTCAGTGGAAATTACTCTTTGGCCTGGCCTTACTGATGTGAGGCAAATGAGTGGAACTGGAAGAAAATTAATACAGTATTTTTAAAAGGGCAAAAATTAATTAAAATTCAAAAACACACTATCAAACAAGCAATGTAAATGGTGAAATAATGTGAATTAATAGAGCACAAAGCATACAGTGAAATTATAAGTATGCTGTGTGGTAATTTTGCATCTATGCCCAATTAACTATCTTCTCTATTTTAAAATAATAACGTTCAATGTATCTGCAGCATTTTTTTAAAGTGTTGGGAACGGCTCAAACAGAATATTCTAAATATTTTCTCCATAATAATCAGACACAGATCATATATCATAGGGTAATATTTGCAAAAAACAGCAACAACAATTTAGATTTATACAACATTTTTCATCAGGCTATTGCAACATTTTTTACATGTATTAATAAATTAATATCTACAACACCTTCACAACCCCTTGTTAAATAATCATGGATTAAATTTGTCTCCTTTTATATTAACTCCCATTGATTTGATTGGGAAGCATAACCAGCCCCTTGTTTCCAAACAGCTGAAATCTGACTTGCTTTAAGTATTCTACTCTGTTTAATAATTTAATCTTATTTTTTTAAGATTTAATACAAAAATCCAACTGTTAAAAACACAAAGAATGCAAACACTAAAAAGTTCAAAAATGCCAGAACTTGCTTTTCCCAACTTAATTTGGTACCCTGGTGTCTCTCCATTATGTGAGCAAGCAGTTAAAGACTACATGGTATTCTTTTTACCCCATATGTCTCCTATGTCTTTCAATGCACAAGATAGACAGTGCTCACTGGTTGGATTGCTAATCACTATTTCATTTTATCCTCATCACTCAGTACTGAAGGGTATGCATGTGTTCATTTTAAACAAAATGTGGTTTGGAAAGTAGGTATGCATAAAGAAGCATGCTGTGGCTCACCACCCTAGCAACAGCCTAGAAAAGGCCAAGGGGAGGGGGGTGAACTCAACATGTGGAGTGGAGAAGTACAAGCATGTGACAAACAAAGCCATATATGGAAAGGTTGAATCTGATTGGTTTAGAAGTTTGTGTTATGTAACCTGTAACCATGTGCTATAAAACAGCAAGGGGAGGGGCTCTTTGCTCGAGGGGCTCTGGCTGATTTTAGTACCAGGGGGCTCTCTCTTTGTGCACATTGAATAAGTATTGAATTGAATTGAACCAGCACCTGACTCTCTGGGAACCACAAAATCCCAACAGTACGCTGCACTATGGCTTAGTCACCACACCATCCAAACCATGGCACTGAATAACAAATTATTAATTTTCCCAGGGGCTTTCACATGGTGCTTTCATCATTTATGATTGTGAAGCATTAAGATACAATAACTACCTTCCCAACCTTCCTTTGAGATTAGGTGGCATTGTTATCCCCATTGTACAAATGAGAAGCTGAAATATTGAGAGCTCAAGGCCAAAATTGTTTAAGTGTCTACTAATTTTGGTTCCACAATTGGAGATGCCTAGAATCTACTCTTTCAGAGTATTCCACCAACCTAAGCCCTTCAAATGAGTACTTATATCTCACCAACCTGCCCTTTTGTTTCTATCACCCTGCTCCCACACAGTTTGACCCTGTTTACTTCTGACCCTGTCCCTTTCAACAGCTACCCATCCCCAAACTGCTGTGTCCAGCTCCATACCCTTACATTTCAGGGAGGTTGCCTCTTCCTTCTATTCTATGCTGTCTGGATGTTATCAATTAATACCAACAATTAACAAAGAAACAATTTATTTAAAAGAATAACCCATTCTATTTTGTGTGAGGCAACCCCCAAATCAGGATTTGAACAAAAACATGTTACCATGTGCTCTGTTGGAAATATGGGGAAACATTTGCTAACTAGGAAAGATGAATAACAGTAAAGAAAAAAAATCATTGTAATATCTCCAGGGAATACTACAATAAAGTAGAACAACTGCTTTTTATGGGGCTGTTTAGTACAAAATGATTGTGTTATTTAAAAAAATAAATATACGAAGAGAACATATTGTTTATGAATGGTGCTAGACTGATAATGTTAGCAAAAGCATACCTGTGTTTATTCACAACCTTGTGTGGAGGGAGGTGTAAGAGGGCCATTCATTCTCTGTAAGACAGGCATGTCAAACTCGAAGCCTACTGAGGGCCACACAAACAGAAACTGATAGCTTTCAGGGCCACCAATGTACGTTTATTGGAAAGTTGTAATTATGTATTATTATAGATTATGTTTTAGCTATATTGTATAATATTTTTTCAGGTCTTGTTTGAATATAATACAATAATTTGATGGGTAAAATTGTTATTTGCTCATATATAATAATCTTCATAATTTTTAATTATAAAGTTAAGGTACTTTTTAATTATTTTAATATGATACATGACTTGTTTTGTTGAAATAAAAACAAGTATAGACCAAAACAATAAGGGAGAGACTCATATTTCAGAATAATTGCTTCAGCCTGACAAACATTAGCCTTTGAATTTTCTTTAAAGAAACACAGTGTAAACCAGGTACATGCTGATTCTTTTTTTTGCCCTGGAATTTAAATATTGTATCTTTGTTGGTCGCCTTATTCTGGCGAAAAGCTGTTAGGAATTCAACAGACCCCACAAACTCATTTCATATTGGTGATTTAACTGTCATGTCAAGATGGATTTCAGCTGGTGATTGACAACTGCAAGACTCCTGATATCAAGCTTGTGAGCCATCCAAAACCTGAACATCCATTTTATCAATTATATTTTCTCTTTGAAGTATAAAACACACATAAAGAGTAAAAATAGATTTAACATTTTCACTACCCTTATAAGTCTCATTTTTTGAAGAGTAACATTAGTTCAAACCAAGGGCTTTGGTTCAAACTAACACGTCCTGGCACACACTTCCTGATTCAAAACAGCTGGCATTCAGAATAATGCACCATCGAGATCATGCTAATGAAGCACGGGATATTTAAATCCCCGCTTCACTGACTATTTCGAATGCCTACATTTGCATCCCTAGTTCTAGGGTGCAAGTATAGACATACCCTAGGTCAGTGGTCTCCAACCTTTTTAAGCATGAGATCACTTTTTGAATTTAAGTGCAATCCAGGATCTACCTCAAGCCCAAACACCCTTGCTCCACCTCCTTCCTGCCCCTTCCCTGAGGCCCCGCCCTGCTCACTCCATCCTCCCTCCCTCATCCTCACTCACTTTTATCAGGCTGGAGGCAGGAGTTTTGGGTGCAGGAGAGGTTCAGGACTGGGGCCAGGGTTTGGAATGCAGGCTCGAGCTAGGCACCGCTTACCACAGGTGGCTTCTGGTGGTTGTGGTGCAGGGAGCTAAGGCAGGCTTACCTCTTCCCCTCTTCCTCTTCTTCCCATGCCCTGCATAGCAAGCAGGAGGCTCCCACGGGTGGGGAGCAACTCCAAGGCAGAGGGCAGAAGCTGCACAGAAGTGCTTTAGGGGGCAGATGAAGTGCCTGCACTTGACAGCCTTCTAGCCAAACCTCTCAGGATCACCCATCAAAGGCTCCAAGATCTACCAGTAGATCTGATCTACTGGTTGGTGACCACTGCCTTAGGTGAATTAAATAATAGATTTTTTGCCTATAATAAATTATCTCCCAAGGGTTCAGTTTCATACCTGAACTTCTGAACATTTCATAATACTGCTATGTAGGGAAGCTAAATTCTGGTTAATAAGCAATTTGTTATACAATAATATGCTGCTAGCTAATTTTCATATTCAATAAAAATATCGGAAGACAACTTTACTGTGAAGGACAGGGAATAAACGGGAGCATACTTTTCAAGTGAATAGACACATTTGTGTTCAGAAAAAATGAGTATTAATGAGAGGTGAGGCAAATATGGGCTTAAAGTGCAGCAGGGGAGGTTTAGATTGGACATTAGGAAAAAATTCCTAACTGTCAGGGTGGTCAAATATTGGAATAAATTGCCAAGGGAGGTGGTGGAATCTCCCTCTCTGGAGATATTTAAGAACAGGTTAGATAGACATCTGTCAGGGATGGTGTAGACGGAGCTTGATCCTGCCTTGAGGGCAGGGGGCTGGACTCGATGACCTCTCGAGGTCCCTTCCAGTCCTATTATTCTATGATTCTATGAAATATGTTGAAAATCTAAGTTCTCATTCACTCCATGTAATGTTTGTTATTTCCTACCCCTTCGCCATCACCTAAAACTTAGTATTGATTATTTTTCTTCCTATCTTTTAAATGCACATTAAGAGTTTTAGAATTTGCAGAGCTGACAAGTTTATAGAAATAGATGGTGCACACCTGCTAATCAACTGAAAACAAATGGGATACAATTGTTGTGGTAGCTGCACACATAGATGAAAACAATACATGTGCACAGATACTCAGATGTAATCAATTTCCCTTCCACATAAAGATATGTAAAACATATTTACAAACAATACAACATGTTCTATATAAAACAGTGTAAAAGAGGAATACACAGTAATAAAAAGGTATATGATTATTTCAGTTGTTGAAAAAAATTCAGTTTGGGGCAAATTCTGGTACCTGTGAAATTAATGGCAAGACCTGCAGATCCTTTACACAGATTACAGCAACAGGAAGGTTATCTGATCCAGCTTCCAATGGCAACAAGAGGTTGTTATAGCAGCTGGACATCACCAGGTGATAGGAGAAGCTGATGTGGCTGACACTTGGGGGTCCCCCTGACAGTGGATCATGGGGCAGTGGGAGCATCACAGCTTGTTGCCTCTTGACACCAGTCCCAGGGTGGCTAGAGCAGTGTCAA